ATTCTTGAAAGAATATGAACATGCTAGTGGTAGTGAATATACCACACTCACCTCTAGAAGGGGGTTTGAGATGATATAAGAATGGTCATTGGTCATGTACCTATCGTACGCCAAAATATTTTGGTAATGTGATTATTAAAGGATAACGGTAATGCATAAAACAGATCTTGCATATAATTTTGACCATGGTCATAATGGTATAACTTTCTCTTTAAAAGAGATATTCACCATATGGATTTGATGAATATGTGGTAGCACCAAATTAATTGAGAGCTCTGGAAGAGCCAATTATCATTATTTTGGAGGAATAAAATTAACAATCAATAAGGCATTGTGTTGTAGTAAGTCTCAAAGAAACGTATTGAGTTTCTAAAGAATTCACGAAAGCGGTTGGTTATATTGAGACTATAAATAAAGGAAAGATTTAATCTTCTATTACTACAACTTGTAGTGGGGTAATATGTATGTGAAAAGCTACTCGCTTTATTTTCCAATTTGTACTACATAAATAAAAGAATGTCACAATAAAGTAGAACTTTATTTCATAATAAACTTGGAGTTTATTGATAATTGCATAAGTCATGGTGTAAACCTAAACTTTATTAATATTGATAATTTATTCAGTTGGCATAATTGATTTAGTGTTATATCGCATTTTCGTATGTTAAAGTTTCGTCTTCAGTTAATAAATGTAGACTCGGGGATGAGATTATCTTGAGGTTATACACATTTATGCTATTTATAACGAGCGATAAGTAAGTGCCGTGAAGGATAAAGGGTAAACGAATCAAAGAAAATGAGTTTCGTTGAAGGTTTGGGATAAAATACGGTCCGAGTTACAATACCCGGCATTTATGGACTAATACCACGATAGTAGGATACCTAAAGTGTATTAAAAGTGAGTAGTATTTTAAGTAAGTTGAGATAATTCTTAATTATATGGGTAATTGGTTGATTATTAATTAATGGGGGATTAATTAGTTAAATAAGACACTAATGGATAATTAAGATTTTGGGATAAGGCCTAAGAAGCCCAAAAACGTGGCAGCACCCCTTAAAATTAAAATGACTTTTAAAGTCTTGCATAGATGTCACATTTTGGAGGATTAAAGTGGCTTAGCCACCACTTGAAGTGGGCCCACACCCATTCAGACACACTTAGAGATTTGTGACCATTTTGCTTCATTTGGTCTCTTAGATTTTCAAGAGATTCAAGTAGAGTTTTCTTTCTATTAGGAAGTCACGTTAGAACATATTGAAGGAATACATAACATTTTCCTATCCTAATACCAAATAACACATGATGGAGCACTTGGTAGGCATTGGATTTATGTTACTGTTGTGAGATTTTACAATTGTAAGGAAATACAATGCAATCTTTCTCAAGAGAATCAGTTCAGGTATGTTAAGGCTATCCCTTCTTTCCTTTTGGCATGATCCATACGACACAAACGAAACAAGCAAATGCACAACTTCCATAAATGACTATATTCGTAGATATACTAGAGATGCTTATATTCTTGATTTCCCATAAGTCTTATTATTCTATCGTCTGTTCATGGATCTAAGAAAATACGTAAGTTGATAAAGTTTATTTCATGATATTAATCAGAGGCATAATCGTCTTATGATACTCCAAAATATTTTATTGACGTACTTCTTATGCATTGCATTCATTTACATTGACCCATGACCTGATAGCGTTATATATAAAGGTTACGACATTATATACGCACCACCACCTGATCAGCTAGTATATGTTTATGATTTTGCCCACAGTGGCCGAGATGATATGATGGGATGCCCTTAGACGCTTGATGATGTTATGTACACCTATACCTATGCACGACACGACATTTACAGCACGTGCATGACATTATAAATGTTTTAGGATTTACAAAGTTATTTAGACTTACAGGCGGAATTTTTTGTTCCATGTTTCATCTATGTCTTTTATGTGCTGATCTTCATGCCTTACATACTTAGTACATTATTCGTATTGATGCCCTATTTTTCGGGGCCTGCATTTTATGCCCGCGGGTGCAGGTAGACAAGCTGACAGTCCCCCTCCTTAGGATCCTTGATCAGCGAGAGTTGGTGTGCTCCATTTGATCCGGAGCTGCTTTTGACCTTGGTACGATATATTTGTATACATATATGGGTATGACGGGGCCCAGTCCCATCCTTGTACAATTGTATATTCTAATAGAGTGTTGTAGACAGTTATGTATAGTTGGATAGTATGTGGCCTTGTCGGCTTCCAGTTTTAGGTATATTGTTGTCTACAGCAGCCTCCGGCTCGCCCCACTGTATTCCGCATGTATATGTACATGTCTTTTGGATAGGTTTTCCTCACGTATGTTATTCATGTTTATATCTTAGATACATGCTTAAAGATGTTCGACAGGTAGGACTCGGGAACCCGTCGCGGCCCATCGGTGTGGGTCGTGACATCTAGCCATGTTAATTTAAGTGTGATGTGCAAAAATAAAATAGAATTCACATGGGTAAATATTAAAGAACTAGAAAGTTCTTTACGAATTCTCTTACGTTGCTTGTTCTTATTAACTAATAAACCAATTAAAATTAGGATTGAATCTCATGAATGCTGAAAAATGGAAATATCAAAAGTGAATATGAGCTCATTCACCTGTCATGTATACCACATAAGATGCATCTATGAATGATTACATGTGCGATTATTATTAACTCGCAACCTGGCCGGTGTTTGCGAGGTAACTTGCGCAGTAATCTAATTTCGAGCATAATTTCGATATTTTCTATTCAAGACAGTTTATCTTGATAAGTTGGTTTATATCACAACTGGTTTTGCAAAATAATTTATTGAGTGCCTCCACTTAATAACTAAATTGTTGCCGATGAAAACAAAGTTATCTATATCAGTTTGATATACGCTATATACGAAAGTATATTGTATTCTCCCCTCATAAGTGGTTCAGGGTCAGGAACTAAATAATTCCATCTTATTATTATTGATGTGCAATGTATATTTTCATTAACACCATAATGCTCAAAGATGGGTTCCAAAAATTGAGGAAGAAAGTTAGTTTTTCTAACATGAGGGGGAGACAAGATAAACAGTTGAGAAAAAGTTACGTGGAATGAATTATCATTTCTACATCTAGATCCTAGAATAAAATTATATGAACTTGAAGTTCATAAAAAGATAATTCATTTGCAATATATTGCAAAGCATGCTAGACGCATTTGCCGACCCAAATAAAGCAACTATATTCTCATTGGAAATGCTCCTATTAAGTCCTAGAAGGACAAAGTCTATGGTACGCTTAAAGCGTATAGACAAATTGGTTTCAAATAAACTTCTTGATAAAGAAGATGAGCAAATGATCAAAATGATCATAATAAATGAGGCATGACATAACACTTCATAAAATCTCATGAGAGATCCAGGTACCTTAATATATGAATGAAGAGATCTCTATGTTATGTCTTTATGAAAAAAATATTGGAACCATTATAAAATGTCCGTCGAAGGCATCTATCATAGCGCTAAGTATAGATGAGGACCTCAAGTCTGTCTAATACAGACACAAAAATATTGGTCAAATAGAAGAGACACAATTCAATAGAATTGGTTTCATATGAAAGACATATAGTTTTGGACATGTAGTTCAAACACTTAGAGTATAAAGCCATTGATATGTGCAATCAGTTTTCGATATCTTATCTGTCTAGCATGACATGAAAACTTGATATGCCTCTAATTAAAGTCTATTATATGACTTATATGACTTAACTTATATAACAATCCTTGAAGGATTTAAATCGCTTGAAGCATATACAATTCTTGGTCCTGAAGTATCTTGCTATAACTATAAGCATGATAATGTGATAACGAGGATTTTGAAGGTGCAACATATTCATTGGAGTTAATATGGCTATTTTATTCATCAAATCTCTGCCGACATCAACCTTTAAGAAGCTAGTGCACAAGATTGGAATGCGAAGGCTCAAGGATGTGAATCGATGCTCTCATCAAGGGGAGTTAATACGCGTTATACTCTTTTTTCCTTACAAGGTTTTGTCCCACTGGGTTTTCCTTGCAAGATTTTTAACGAGGCAACCAAAGTGCGTATTTCTAAACATGTGTACTCTTTTCCCTTATCTAGATTTTTTTTCCACTGGGTTTTATTTTAGTTAAGGTTTTAACGAGGCACATTATCTGTTGAATAGACATTCAAGGGGGAGTGTTATAAATAGAGTTTAATTTAAGGTGAATGTCTATATTTTAAAGAGATTTTAGGGATTTTACTTGGTGGCTAAGTCACTTTTTCCCTATAAATAGAGAGGTTCTATTCCATTGTAATTAAATCCAAATCAATTAAAATTCTCTCTCCCTAGTTTTCTATGCAATATTCTTCTCTTCTATTGTTCGTAACAATTTTTATGTAATATTATACTATCAAAAATTAAGGGGGAAAACATAAAGGACAGAGAAAATTAGCTGCAGTAAGATAAGGTGCATAGTCAAGATCCATCTGATCTGTCTGTTAGATAATTTTTTCCCCATCTACTCCTCTCCATTTCTCTTAATTAAATTTAGATAAAAAAACTACTTTTACAAAATTACATTAGATTACTTAATATGATAAATAGAGAATATATAATAACAGTAAAAAATAATAATATATAAGCATTTAATTACTTACTGTATTATTCAAGAAACTAATTTCAAATCCATATTGTTTAATTACTAATAGTAAGAAATAGAAAATATATAAGCATTTAATTACTTACTGTATTATTCAAGAAAATTAACTTAACAAATCCATAGTATTAGATTTAAGTATAGTAATAATTAATAACACTAAGAAGTAGAAAATATATAAGCATTGTAATTACTTACTGTATTATTCAAGAAAACTAATTTAACAAATCCATATTAGATTTAAGTTTAATAACAGTAAGAAATAGAAAATATATAAGCATTTAATTACTTACTGTATATTTTCATAAATATTCTCTTTCCCTGAATCCAAGCTCCACTTGTTTCTCTGCAAAATCCGCCATTCCCTCATTCCTCTATATTTCCACCAAAAAAAGTGATGTGCATTTTTTCTGCTGCAAATCTCTTCCGCCATTTCTGAAAACTCCGTGTCTTTCTCTCTCTCTAAAAACTTTTTTCTCTCTCTACAAGTCCAAATGGATAACCCATCGGAGGATTCCTCGGATTCTCCTCAACAGCAGCCCGAATCTCCTGTAAACGATGACCAACGTGTTTATTTCGTTCCTTACAGGTAAAATCTCACTTCCCCGTTTTGACCCATTCCTCATGCAACTGTTTGTTTATGTATATCAACATAAAAGTAAAAATAAATAAAAATAAAGAATTGAATTCTCGGATTTTGCTTTCTCGAATTGATTTTATGATTTGGTTTGATCCAATTCAGCTAAACCCAAATCTGAACCCATGAGATAACGAGAAAGTTGAAACAAGTTCTAGTTTTTTTTTGGTTTAAATTACTTATATTTTTATTTGTATTACTTGTCATTTAGATTGGTAATTGTATTAGCTTCCCTACATTGGAATGTTGTAGTTTTTTTAATCAAGTCTTATTATCTGGATCAAATCGTGTTGTGAGTTGTTTATTTTTTTTATTAGTTGCCATTTGGATTGGTAATTGTATTAGCTTTTGTGCATTGAACTAGTGTTGGTTTTTAATCGATGTTGTTGGTTTTTGTTTTCTGTTAACTGGTGGATCAAATCATGTTGTGGGTTGTATATTTTTGTTTTGTGAGCTTAAGCATAAGAAAGTATCGGCCTTGGATTTTCAGTTGTGTTTTCTTGATGAAGTAAATAGTTTCACCAATGTCATCAAGAAGATGCAAGTATTACGAAAGATTAGGCCAGAGAGTATCAGCTTCAATACATAGGCCTAGATGGCTAAGGAGCTGATAAAGTCCAGAAAGTTAATAGGGTAAGTTACAATAGATAGTTTTTTCCAACTAAATAAAAGAAAAAGACACCTAGCTATCAGTTGTTAATAATGGAGAAGTAGTATAGCAAAGTGCCGACAAGATCTGAAAGTGGTGGTTATCAGGACCTGTTTAATAACTTAGTCAACCTTAGAAGAAGCTGACAAATTATTCCATCTACAATTTGTCAACCTTAATAGAGGTGCACGCAAGCTGGTTCAGACACCACAGTTATCAATTTTTTTTGTTTAAAAAGATGTTCCATCTCGATAAAATATCAATTGATTATGCATTATGTTGTCAGTTCAAATTTTGTTTCACGCTATTATTATAAAAAAGTGCATATATGTGGAGAAGTGCTCCGCGGGCTAGTGCAGTGGTAGGGGAGAGTGGTAAAAATGACACAAATGACGCTTGCCACTTGCTAGTGGTTGTTAAGAAGAGAGTGAATGTTTGAGTGGGAAGGGCGGGGTAAATAGCCTGGAAATGTTAATTGAAAGAAGTTAAAAGTTACCCTTTGCAGCGTCTTCTCTAGGTAAGAATTTTTGTAAGTGTTTTCCCGAGTAGAGAGTTAAAGTGTTGCACACACATATATTACAGGTGCCACAGGCACGTATATGTTTAGAGTACTATATAAGAAAGCGCGTTTGTGTTCTAGGTGGTGGAAGGAAGCACAGGAGTCAGCACCATCAGATGGGAAGTCAGCGACTTTGTACGCAGCGGCACCAGCTCCATCTTATGGAGGGCCAATGAAAATCATTAACAACATATTTAGCCCAGACGTCGCATTTAACTTGAGGAGAGAGGAAGAATCTTTATCACAGAGTCAGGAGAATGGTGAAGTTGGGGTATCTGGTCGGGACTATGCTTTGGTCCCTGGCGACATTTGGCTGCAGGCACTCAAATGGTCAGTATTTTAGAGCAGTTTCCAATTTGTATTCCTTGAAATGTGTTAGATAAAGCCTCTTCTGACGGAGATTTATACCATAGTTGTTGAGCATTCTAAGGATACCATTTGCATATTTGTGTTTTTCTCGACTTCAATAAAACATTGATTTTTCACTTCTGGTTACAACAACCACTTGCAATTTGTTGTTTGGTTTCTTCTGCTTTTCAGACCACTCACATTTTCATTTCACATGAAAGAGGCCTCAAGCCTTTCGAGGCTTCATTGTTGTTGCTAGTCAGATGGCAATTCCCAGTTATAAATATATATTGTTAAATGCCTTGTTAATGCATATGGAAGCTCGTTTTTTAAAGCATTTTGAGATTTCATTCCAAAAAGACCACTGTTTATTCTTTCAGCTTTTAATTGCTAAGCTCAATCTATTAATTCGCTTCCTTATTTTCTTTGTCTCTTTCGTACTTTTTTTTTTTGTGTGTGGGGGGGGGGGGGGGTATTGGTGTTAACTTATAACTGATTATTTCACTTTCCTTTTTGGTGTTTTTGCACATCTAAGAAAGGGAATTTGTCTTTTGATCCTAGTAACATGTTATTTAGCACGTTAATTTCATACATCTGGCACTATGTAAAAGTTGATCTTTTGATTATAGAGTTCTGATTAGTTTGATTGGAATTGCTCCTTTCCATCCAGGCACAGTAACTCTAAAGCTGCGGCTAAGAATGGAAAAAGCTTTTCAGCTACAGATGAGGATATTGCAGATGTCTATCCTTTACAGCTGAGGCTTTCTGTTTTGCGGGAAACCAGTTCCTTGGGAGTCAGGATAAGCAAAAAGGTTAATAATAACATTGGAATTTCTAGTTTCATCTACAATTCCCGTGAGATTTGTACTGTCATAATATCCATAGAGTGCATAATCACATGTGATTTTTTTGGTACAGACCCTGCCACAATTTGTGAAGCTGACTTTCTTTTCATCAGCTGCTTTGCCATCTTTCATCCTTCACTTTTGTTGTTGCTGTTTATTGTTGAAACTGAAGGATCTTAGATGGACATGTCCGAAATATCAACTTTAAGAACAAGGGTTATGCATGAAGCCCTCTATTCTCATCCTCATATTATTTACTCGGAATGGGCATAGCTGTTAAAGTGCTTCCATTTTTGTTTGATAGTTAAATATTAACAGTACGAGCTATTTATGGTTCTGGGTTCTGCAAATGAGGACAAGTATGTTAGCTGGATACGTATCTTTTTGCTGACATAATGGGATAAATTTTGCATGGTAATATTCGGCTTTACTTGAATTTGTTGATAAGGATATCAATCCTATTGCTATTTATGTAGTTCACTTGAAGCATTTAATACTAGTATTTCCCAATTACAAAATTGCTCATCAGAATTTTTTGACAACAGTGAGAGTTCTAGAGAAGCGAGTCTTTTGAAAATGATAGTAGAAAGAATGCTTCCTTTCTCTAGATTGTCTTTCTAGCAAAGTAAATTAATCTAGAGTTAAATTGTATTGACAGGAATAAACAATATAAGCGGTATTTTCATCCGACACCCTTCCCCTGTTAGTGGAGCAGAAAGAAACTATGTAATTGGGGATCGCTTAGTTTTGAGATAACATATAGTAGACTACGTTGACAGTTTTATTCTTTTAATTTAAAACTAACAAGTTGTCTTATATCTAAAGTATTAGCAGAATCATTTATTCTGCCTCTAATAGCTTGGAAGAACTATATATCATTTGAGGTCTTACTTGCAGAAAGACATCGGAGATGAAGTTAGTTTTTTTATTTTTTATTATTAGATCAGAAATGAAATTAGTTCTAGCTTTTATTATACTCAAGGATGCCCTGACTTCCTCCATCTTTATCTATTTTTGAGAAATTCTCTTTCTTGACTGCCAAATGCCAAGAGGAAATGGTAGCAAGCAGTTTCTTGCAAACCCTGGTCTGAAGAAGTAAAATGGATAGAGTTCTAATTTTCATAAAGCTAATAGGAAATAATTTGATCACTTGTGAAAATAAGCCAAAAGAATGATGCTCATTCGAACAAAGTTCTCTTAGAGTTACTACATATTTCGTTGTGCATACATGATCCTTCAATGCTACTTCATATTTATTATTTACCCGAAAGTTGATGTTAATTTGAGCTCTTTTTTTCTTAACAATGTTATTGCTGACTTGTCCGTTTACTGCCTCACCTTGTGTACATAAAAATGTAGTTTCCAAAATTACCATTCTACTAAGTAACTGGAATAAGTTGTTTGTATTTTCTAACTGTTGCATGTTAAACATTTGCAATATTGCGGTGGACGATGTTTCTTTTTTTTTTTCTTGCAATAATATCCTCACCGATGTTTTTTTTTTCTAACTATCCTCACCGATGCTTTGGAGTCAGTTAAGCTGCTTTATTTCCTTTAGAGTCTAGTTTTACATTTGTCTTCTCACATTTGATTCAGGACAATACAGTTGAATGCTTTAGAAGGGCCTGCAGAATTTTTAGTGTCGACACAGAACCCGTAAGTTTCAATACTGTTGTTAATTAATTGCAAGGGTATCTCTTTCAGGAGATTAATGACATTTTGGTTCTCTGCAGTTACGGATTTGGGATTTATCTGGGCGGACGGCATTGTTTTTTTCAGATGAAAACAATAAGATCCTCAAAGACTCTCAGAAACAGTCAGAGCAAGATGTATGTACTTTCAACTCTGTCATACTTCATGACTAACCAATAAGCAAGTCGACCAATGCTTCTGCGGCATTCACTATTTTTCCTGTCTTTACTAAGGAAATAATTTAGTTATGCTTTTTTCTGATTGTTTTCTAATTAAGTTTTATTAGCAGATTCTTCCATTTCCTTATCTAGTGGTTGTGCCGTAAAAAGATATATAATGATTGAGGTGATGAATATGCTTACTTAACACTTCATCTAGGAATAAAGTGACACAATGACTTCTCTCCATTTGCTATATAAGTGTTGTTTCTCTTGAGCATGGACAATGCTAAGCCCACCAAATTCAGTTTTATGTGACTCTCTTTCATTTTAGGGGTCGTTTTGGAGTTATTGATTTGTAAGCAGTAGATGTGCTCTTTCCTTTTACTTTCAATGACGTACACTCTAAGAAACTTTATCTCTTTTATTACCCTGGGACAAAAGAAACACATAATGAACGGGACTGTCATGTCTAACGACCAGCTTATACACCCATTCGTCTTGGAGAACTGGCGGGTAAATTCAGCTTAGTTATGCTGTTTTTCAGCTGGATCTAAGATTACAAAAAAAGCAACTTTTTTGTTTTTTGTTTTTTTTCCATTTGTGGCAGTTATTACCGGTGTGGTTCATCATTGATTGGTTTTGTATTTTCTTAGGCTGTTTCTATGAAACGAATTGAAAGAGATGCCCAAGTTTTATCTGTTTTATGTTTCATTTTTCCTTGTGGGTTACCATTTAACTGAGCGCATGGTAAACCTTTACTGTTGAAGGCATTTTGCTGGTTATGGGTTGCCTTATAGTTTTATTACTGACTCTTGAATTAACTCTAAGTGTTTATTGGTTCGCACCGCTTGTAAGCAAGAAATGATTTGGACAAACTTCTTATTTTGTCCTCTTATTTTTTTGCTTGCAGATGCTCTTGGAGTTGCAGGTCTATGGGTTATCAGATTCTGTTAAAAATAAAGCGAAAAAAGATGAGATGTCAATGCAATACCCTAATGGTTCTTCTTTTCTGATGAATGGTACTGGCAGTGGTATAACCTCTAATCTCACTCGGAGCAGTTCATCATTTTCTGGAGGTCCATGTGAAGCTGGTACCTTGGGCTTGACTGGATTGCAAAACCTAGGGAACACCTGTTTCATGAACAGTGCTCTTCAGTGCCTTGCACATACGCCAAAGCTTGTGGATTACTTTCTCGGGGACTACAAGAGAGAAATAAATCATGATAACCCATTGGGAATGAATGTAAGCAATCTTGAATTTTTCAAGATCATTATGTGCTGCTTTAGATGTTTTCTCCAGTTCTCTCTGAATAAGTCAATGTTGACATCCCTTAACCTATTCTACATTATATGTGGTTGGAAAAGTACAAGAAAAAGAGAAATTAATTTGATCACTCTCCATGTCCATGTGAGGAATTCTTTATTTACCTCCAATTGTTTTGTTAGCCCGGACAAAAGAAAAAGATATGCTTATCCGTTCCATTCAATTTAGTAGGGGTTGAGAAAATTGACTCGGAGGGTATTCAATATCTCCACCTTTTGTTTCGTACCAAACAAGGGGAATAAACTTTACCTCTTTTACTTTTCCTCCTCCTTCCACCTCATCTCATCCCAATCAAACATTGTGTTCTAATCTGTCTCCTTACATATTTTATTGTCTAAGTTCCTCTTTTTAAATTCTTTCAGGGTGAAATTGCATCTGCTTTTGGTGACCTTTTGAAGAAATTATGGGCTCCTGGAGCGACTCCTGTGGCACCTAGAACATTCAAATTAAAGCTTGCTCATTTTGCTCCTCAATTCAGCGGCTTTAATCAGCATGATTCTCAGGTCCTTTCAGTCCTTCCTGTTTGATTTAGTTCCCCAGTTTTAGGTCACTTATTAACACTCTCTTTTCTGTCCTCTCATTTGGTGGGCATCTTTTGACATCTTATTCTCCTATCTATATCTGCAGGAGCTCCTAGCTTTTCTATTGGATGGACTCCACGAAGATTTGAACCGTGTCAAGAATAAACCTTATGTTGAAGCTAAGGATGGAGATGATCGTCCAGATGAAGAAATTGCTGATGAATACTGGAATAATCATCTGGCTCGTAATGATTCCATCATAGTGGACGTTTGCCAGGTAAATAACATCCGATGGTCTCTTGTATCTCACTAGAAGTAGGAATCATTTGATTTCACCGGCACCCAATGGTCTCTCGTCTCTCACAGGCAAATGTGAATTATTGATCTCATTTCAACATTGGCTTGAAAAAGCAAGAAGAATGAAGTGGCATATTTTTTTTAAATATCTGAACTCTACTGTATTTGTGCTGTGAGAGTTGTTCTAGGATGAGAGAGTAATAATACCCCAACTGTTTGGGGAATTTTAAGCAGTGTTCCTAAAGCTTGCTTCAAATTCCTCAGATATTTTTGTCTAGATTCTCTGCTTTTTTCATCAATAAGATTTCTTTCCTTATTTAAAACAAAATAATAACTGACATAATTTGCTGTTGAGATTCAAAGAATTGTACTTCTAATGCAATTTTCTTTGGTGAACTCTTATACTTCGAATTCAACTCTTACCATAAGTAATGGAAATTAAATTAGTCGTCCTTTTGAAATCAATCCGATGAACAACTTGGTTCAATAATTTGGAATAGTGGGAGTACTATTTGTTAACAACTGACATACTATTTTCCTAGAATGCAGTCCTGAATGAAGAGCTGAATTTTGGATTCAGGTTTATTTTAAAACAAATTACTTTTATTTGTAGTGCTCCCTGTTTTCTCTATATGGTCTCCGCATTTTATCTTTATTGTCTTTTTGAGTTTTACTGAAATTTCCTAAAAGAAGAATATTCCAGCCTTTAACCTCCATAAGAAAGTTAAATTTTTGTTCTTCCATAGTTTACAAGTTTAATTGTATAAAAACTTGAACCTACCTTATCAAAAAAGAAAAAAAAATTATATGAAAAACTTGAACCTTGTGAATGTTTCTGACATTTGTGCAGTCTATAGGATGTGTTTGGAAGTAACTGGTCTTTTTATGCGTTATGTAGTCTATGGCGGTATGTAATTTCTGAATTCCTCTTGACCAATCATCTGTGAGACAAAGCTCTGCAATTCTAAGATAATTTTCGAATACAACCAATTGATGATAGCTTGTCATCTTTTTTAGTTTTTTTATTCTGTGATTTTTTGCGTAAAGTTGACTCTTAGCCATGTCTATCATTAGATGTCGTAAACTTTGAAGTTTCACTTTAGAAACCATGTACATAATACATGTTTCCTAGCAGGTCGTGATTTGTCTATGACTTTTAGGATGATTTAAAGTCTACTTCATCTGACTCCCTTTTTCTGCACATTTATACAAGTTTCTTTTCTAGTCTTGCTTCTCAGAGCTTATCTCTATTGTTGCAGGGTCAATATCGTTCCACATTGGTCTGTCCTGTTTGCAAAAAGGTCTCCATCATGTTTGATCCTTTCATGTATTTGTCACTGCCTCTTCCATCTACATCTATGAGGTCAATGACCGTCACAGTTATAAAAAATGGCAGTGATATTCAGATATCTGACTTTACAATCACTGTTCCCAAGGATGGAAAACTTGAAGATCTTATTCGTGCTTTAAGCACTGCATGCTCTTTGGACGCTGATGAGACCCTTTTGGTGGCTGAGGTAAAGTGCACAATTTCCAGTGATGAGAAATGGTTATGGATTTCAAGTTGTTGCTTTATTGTTTTCCTAAATAGAACTTATTACATACTGTGTATTGGATAGTCAAGTAGAGTCCTTTTTCCTATTTCCAGCTCTTACTCCATTTAATGTTACAGATATACAACAACCGCATTATACGTTATCTTGAGGAGCCAGCCGATTCATTATCCTTAATAAGAGATGGTGACCGACTTGTTGCTTATCAGTTGCACAAGGGTACTGAAGAAGCCCCCTTGGTTGTGTTTACACATCAACAGATTGATGAGTATGTCTTGACTTCATAATTTGGGCATTATCTTTTTTTTGCTTTAAAGTTCATCAAACATTACTAGCCATTACTCAGGTGTGTCTTGCATGCACATCTATGTTTCATAAGTAATAAGTTGGGAAAAAAGTACTCCAAGGGTGGTGCTTCCACATCATCACTCTTAATCATGGCAGGGTTTGGATGTGGGCGTACTTGATGACTACATTGCTTAAAAGAATTGACAAAATATTTTCGCAGACGACATGTGTGGTAATATCTCAGTTTATTAGTTTGCTTTATGGAGATCGGGTGATTAATTCATGATCAACACAACTCCAGTTAGTGTATAGAGTAGGCTGTTGGTTGTCATATACTTCTATCTTGTATAAAGTAAAAATGTGAGGTGGTTTATTTAGTACTGTTGAGCATCCTCAGTCTCAATTCGCTTCACTTGAATACATTACAAATCATCGTTATGCATGGTTCTTCAAGCAACATGTAGTTCAGATGATGTGTGTGATCCTTCTAGATTATTTGGACAATCATGAAACTATTGCTTCTTCCATGCATCTTACTGCTGAAGTTGTATATGATAAGGAATTTCTTGCTGTTTTGTTTGCCGATTATGTTTAGTTTAACTTTTGATCCATTAAGTTGAAAAATTCTCATAGTGGTCCTTGACTCATTAAATGAGATGGCTGATATTTATTTTGGAAAAATATCATTTCCTTCTTGATTTCCTCTTCCATTCTAGCAATCTGATAAAGACTGCATGTGCAGGCATTACATATACGGAAAGCTGACCTCAAATATGAAGACATTTGGCATTCCGCTTGCCGCGCATAGTAGAGTTCTTACAGGATCTGATATCCGTAGTCTTTATCTACAGATACTTACACCATTCTTAGTCCACAATACAGCCCAAGCAGATAATCTTAACTGTGATAGAAGTGCTACTGAAGTATGTACAGATTCAGAAGTCAGCACAGACATGGAACCTGGCAACTCAATAGTAAATGGGATTCCAGAAAGCATTGCTGAAGAAGATACTGCCGAACCTTTAGACATGGAATTTCAATTTTACCTATCAGATGATAAGGCAACCTTTAAAGGCTCCGAGATTGTAATGAATGAGCGATTACAGTCCACAGATATCTCTGGACGGTTAAATATACTTGTAAGTTGGTCACCTAAAATGCTTGAACAGTACAATACAGGCCTTTTCAGCTCACTGCCAGAAGTTTTTAAATCTGGGTTTTTTGCCAAAAGACCACAAGAATCTGTCTCTCTGTATAAATGTCTTGAGGCATTTCTGAAGGAAGAGCCTCTAGGGCCAGAAGATATGTGGTAAGCATGCAACTCCCTCACTCCTGTGATTGTACACCATTCATATGCAAGCTATGTATTATAACATGAATGTTCAGAGATTTCTCGTAATGCTTCCCTTTTTGCTTCTTCTTTGGTTTGTGCTAATATTATAAACCCTCAACTTTTGTAATTACATAATTGTATTTTTCCAATTATACCATTTTATTTCATTTCTGTCAATATTGTCCACTGCGTCGTGATTGCTTATTGTGGATAAACCATTCTTATTAGCCTCCCCTCAACCAAATTGGACCTTGACTTTGCAACATGGCATGAGTAGTATCCTTCCAACTTCTAGTTCAGTTATGTTAAAGAAACAATGACAGCATCTGATGATCTTAAGTAACACCTATTGATTTTCTGCACATTGTGCTTCTGAAATGCTTTATGTGTTGCTCTTTGTTTCTTGTATACTCATAGCAACTACAGACAGTAATTGGGATAATAATATTCAGCTATTTACCTGGGGCCACTCATGGGGGAAAAGACTTCTTTAATGAAATGTTTCTAGTATTCTATCTTATCATCTAATCATTTATTTGTGTCATTCGCTTGGGAAGTATGAATATAATCTGCCTAACTTTCTTTGTCTTATATCCAACATTAGGTATTGCCCTGCATGCAAGCAGCATCGCCAAGCTACTAAAAAGTTGGATCTTTGGAGGCTGCCGGAGATTCTGGTCATCCACCTGAAGAGGTTCTCGTACAACCGGTTTCTGAAGAACAAGTTGGAGACGTATGTTGACTTCCCAACTCATGATCTTGATTTATCCTCATATTTGGCCTACAAGGATGGCAAATCTTCCTATCGGTATATGCTTTATGCAATTAGCAACCATTATGGAAGCATGGGAGGGGGTCACTACACTGCGTTTGTTCATGTAAGTGGTGCTGCAACTTGGATTACCTTGCTTCTTTTTCTTGGTTTTGTTTCTATTCTATGGTAAATAGGATTCTTTTATACCTGATAAAAATGGCATCTTAAGATCAGTACTTGGGGACAAGGGTGGGTGGTCGGCTGTCACTGAAACCTACCTCCAAGAGCAAATATAGAAATTTCCTATTTCGTAGTGAGTGTTCCTTTGATGTATTTTTTAGTTCCAATGCATCATCTGCATCTAAATTAATCACATACTGCACACATGTGCATCTGTTATATATTTAACTTTGGTCATGCATCTTCATTGTTTTTATGTCTACATCATGAAGAATATGCAAGAAAGTCAAATATTCAGGCTTTTACAGTTTTCCCAGTTTAATCCAGATATTCTAACTTTGCTTCTTCTTTTTTTCTGCTAATAATCTAGCAAGGTGCTGATCGGTGGTATGACTTCGATGACAGCCATGTGTATCCCATCAGCCAGGACAAGCTCAAAACCTCGGCTGCCTATGTCCTATTTTATAGACGAGTTGAAGAAATCTAACATTAGATGATAGTTGTTACAGTACTAAACATCAAGGCTTGATTTATCTTTTCTCAAGCCTTACAGGAATAGCATTGATGAGAGCATTCTTTGACCTTCGCATCACCTAGTTTAGTTGTAATTTTGGGTCAAGAAGAATCTAGTGGTGTGGCGATAAGGATTATGTAGCATCCCAGCTAAGAGGGAAAGAAATTAAGGTTTTTACTTACATAGCCGTTTTTTATAGAAGATATTTTCTTTTATTATCCCTAGCAGATCAGAAAATAGCCTGGAACAGAAATTGCTTATGCACTTGCTGTAATTAGAGTTTTGAGGAGAGAAGACAAAACGTTAAGGTGTTTTCTGAGATGAATTAAGGAACATTATTTGATAGAAATTAAATTAATTTCGTTTTTGCAGTTCTGGTGGAAATTTTCACTGTGCATTATACTTTGGTGTTCTAGCTTCCATTTCACCTTTGAAAACAATACTAGTAATGTGAGAAGCAAGCTTCTTGATGGTGAGTTAAGATCCAAGAGGCCTGAGAAACTATTGCTTATATTGCCCTTGGATTGAGTCCTATCTAATGTTCAGTTAGAGTAGGGGGAAAAATGTAAATATGAGTTTATTTTATAACCTTTTATGGAGCTTTTACTTATCCTTTTGAAAAAAATGAAACATTACTATAGGGCATAGTGAAAAACAGGTATAGATACTATTTGGAAAGAGGGAATTGAAAGTATATTATGTAGAGACAAGTGAATATGTATGTTTGTATATAGGTGTACATTATTGTTATTGATGCGATATAAGTAAGGGTATTGGGAATGGGAAAGAAACTGAACCCTAGCTAGACTGGTGGTGCTTGTTGAACGTCATTAAACCTAAATTTATCTTTTATATCTGGTGGGTCTATACTATAATAGGAAACCCCAAAAGGCACTACACAATCTTTATTTTTCCTGACCGTCTTTTAAATAGTTTGAGTGACACCAACAAGAGGAGTTGAATGGGAGTCTTGAACATCACTCGTAGAGGATATATAATCTTAGTTTGTGCAAGTGACTAACAAGAGGAGTTGTAAATGGAAATCGAATCTTCAACGTCATTGGGATTTGGAGACGCAACTAGCGTTATTTTAACAATTCTGAATGAAAAGAGCAAAATAAAGTGGGCAAATGGGAAAAAAGTTCAACAAAGCTGGTAATATAAGCAAGTTTGCTCGCACAAACGCACAACACGGTATGCCTACCGCAAATGCTAGTTAACTCCATATACCTTTGAAATATTTATTTTACCTTGTACACCTATTTTATAAAAACTTATTACCTTTTAAACTTTTAATATCATTATACGCCATTAAATAAATCTCACCTTTTAAAGAACTAAATTATCTCACTCCAACTTAATAAATCCCTTAAAATACTCCATCATCCCACATTTTAAGGAATTGGAATTATACATGTTCACCAAAAAGTCCACCCCACCAGTAATTTCTCTATGAAGTCCTCCATAATCTTTTTCTTCTCTTTTATCTATGTAATCAAAAGAAAAACAAAATAACGTGACAATGTTCTAATTTGGGATATAATATATAAACTAAAATAAAATATTAGAATATGCTTATTCGAACCAATACACCACAATATCCTAATAAAAAATATATTATTCAAATCAAACAACAATGATATTCCAATTTGGAATATTCAAATCAAACATAACACAATGTTCTAATTTGGAATACAATATTCAAATCAAACATACCACAATATTCTAATGTGGAATACAGTATTCAAACAAGATTTTTTCAAATTAAAAAATTGTATAATATTTGGTTTGTATATTGGATTCCAAATTAAAATATTGTTTGAATATTATATTTCAAATTAGAATATTATAGTATGTTCTGTATAATATTGTATTCCAAATTAGAATATTATGGTATACTTAGTTTGAATAATATATTCTAAATTAGAATAATGTGATATGCTTGGTTTAGATAGCATACTTGTCATTAGAATATTGTGATATATTCGATTCGAGTTGTATTTCAAATTAGAATATTGTGGTATGTTCAAAATATATGGGAAGATTTGAAAGTATAGAGTATACAATATCAAAAATGAAGTTCTGATGGAATATTGAAATATGGTTTAATTAGGGGAGATGTGAATCTCAAAATTCATTGAGTACAAGTTTCAATAAATAAGGTTACATTTAAGGGATATTATCCCCTTATGAATAGTGGTTGTTACACACATAAGATACTCTATCAAGATATACGATCTGATTTCTTTATAGGTATGCAATGTAACTTTCATAATTAAGGCATAATGAGTAAAGAGATTTATAAAGGGGTATACGGCGTTAAAACCCTATTATTGTGAATAAAATTTTAAACTAGCTAGCTACTTACAACAGAAGAAGAAAAGAAAAACATTGACTTGAAACAAAGAATACAACACTCTAATTTAAAAAAAAAAAAAAAAAAAAAAAAAAAAAAAAAAAAAAAAAAAAAAAACGCTCTAAAAAGGTATCACATTGAAAAGGAGGAAACAATCTGAAACTGAAACTCCACACTAAAGACGTCTGCAAGAGGGCTGTAAAAGAGCTAGTAATAGATTTAGTATCAACAAGTATTCACAGTTTCACACCTATACAAGGTCTTGTGTGTGTATATATATTTGTATGTGTGTGTGTGCGTATTAAAGAAAACAAGATCAGAAGATTAAATGTTGAGACAGATAAAGCTTCATTCCCTCTTTCCAATTTTTACTAGATTAACGCATCTACACTCTTAGAGGCTAGGGAAGAAATTAAAGGAAGAAGGGNNGGGGGGGGGGAGCAGAAGAAGGAAGAAGTAGAGAAAAAAAAATCACAAACTCCATTATGAGAGTGGCAATTAAATATTTTCGTCGTAGTATGTAAGTATATAAAAGGAAAAAGAAGAGAAAGCTAACTTGCTGCAGGTGCTCCTTTCTCATGCAGAACTAAGATCACACTTCCCATATATATTTTTCCTTTTCAAATCAAAGAACTTTATTTCTCATCTTATACCCTATTACATCAAAAGGGTTTAATTTTGTAAATATCGTGGTTCTTATGATCGATAAGGAAGATGAATGAAACGAACACTTGCTACCATTCTGATTTTCTTAAGCAACAGAATAAACAAAATGAGAAGAGGAAATATTAGAAAAGTCTATTAACGATAGAAGGAGAATGATTCATTGCCTTCTTTTGTGAGATGCACATGTGGCTGTACAGGTGGCTGCCAGTTGTGGATGCCAACAGGGTAATTTAAGTTAGTTGTAAGATGTAGTTAGGAGGTTAATCATGTAGTTAGTCGGTTAGGTATATATATATATATATATATATATATATATATATATATATATATATATATATATATATATATATATATATATATATATATATTCATTAGTGGCAAGGAAACAATGAGATTTTCCACTTTCTTCTTCTGCAATTCATCTTTCTCCTCTTTCTCTTCAGAACATTCCAGAGCATTGATGCTCAGAATTGTTAGATAATCGTAGCATTTTGGCATGGTATCAGAGCGATCGATCCTCCAGTAAATATTTGAGATTCACGATTGTAGATTAGCAGTGAAGAAACTGAATCAAAGTCTGCTCATTTTGCTCAGCTATGGCGGACAAACTCACCTACACTCATCCCATGTTCATGAACCCAGGAGATACACCTGGTATGGTACTGATTCCTGTGAAACTCACTGAATTGGAGAATTATGGAATGTGGAGCAGATCGATGCGGATTGCACTCATGGCGAAGAGGAAATTAAGGTTTGTAACTGGTACCTGTAAGCGAGAATCCTTTGAGGCGGAGTTGCATGAGCAATGGGACACTTGCAATACAACAGTCCTTTCATGGATCATGAACACAGTATCAGTTGACCTCTTCAGTGGAATTGTGTATGCATCTGACTCACACGCTGTCTGGCAGGACTTACAGGAGCCATTTGACAAAGTAAATCGCAAGAGGATTTTTCAAGTTCACCAGAAAATTGCAATATTGTCACAAGGTACTAATTCAGTTTCTGTGTATTTTTCAAAATTGAAGAAATTGTGGGCTGAATATGATGCAATGGTACCTCCACCTGGTTGTGATTGTGCTAAGTCGAAAGATTATATTGAACACTTCTATGAACAGAGGTTATTGCAATTTCTTAGTGGTTTAAATGATTCGTATGACCAAGCTAGAAGGCAAATTTTGTTGAAAACTATTGTGCCCACACTTAATCAGGCTTATGCCATGATAGTTGAAGATGAAAGCCAACACTCTATTGGTTTAAGTGTGTCTGCTGAGAAGGCAGATATGGCTATGCAGATGAATCGTGGACAAGCTTATAAAGGTACAAGGTCTTTCATAGTGTGTGAATATTGCAACATGGAGGGGCATTCAAAGGAGAATTGCTATAAAGTAGTTGGATACCCTACTGATTTCAAGCAAAATAAAAAAGGACCCTATGGAAATGGAAATGCTGCCTATGGAAGTGGAAGTGTTGCAGGTCCAGCTGGTTATAGAGGCCCAACTGGGTATACAGGACAACCTAGGAATGGCAGACAACCATTTGTTGCTGTGAACAATGCCTCCAGCAACATGGAAGGTCAGACACAAGCACAACACAGCCTTGAAGGAGTTTTAGAAGGAAAAATTCCTCACTTCACTGAGGAACAGTACAACCAGATTCTCAACCTGTTAAACAAGGATGCAGAGGACAACACCCAGGTTAACATGACAGGTAATGTTATATATTATTTTTTGTCAAAGTTGACTAATGATGAATGGATTATTGATTCAGGAGCATCACACCATGTAGTACCCAACAAGGATCTATTAGAACCAGGTCATTTCTCAAAGCCACACACATGTGACAAAGTGCACTTACGTACAAGAGCTAAGGCAAACATAACACACACTAGTGAAGCCTCTCTATTTGATAACAAGAGAATTACAAATGTGTTATCTGTCCCAGACTTTAAGGACAATTTACATTCTGTATCAAAATTGACCAAGGAACTTATGTGTTCAGTGGCTTTTTTCCCTTACTTCTGCATTTTTCAAGAGCTTTACAGTGGCAGGGTGAAGTGGATTGGTAGAGAAAGAGATGGTCTTTACATCTTCAAGAGGGGACTTGGTAGTGAAGAAGACACAGGACAAGAATAATGACAATAACTTGTAAGGAGGAATGCAGCTTGTGGCACAAGAGGCTGGGTCATCCTTCCTTGTCAACAATGAAATATATGAAAATTGTACATAGTAATATAGATAGTACTTTGATAAATAAGTGTCCAGTTTGTCCTTTAGCAAAACGGACTAGATTGGTGTTTCCTACTAGTAGTTCAAGAGCTGTTTCTACATTTTGTCTTGTACACATGGA